GTAAAGCGCGAAAATTAAAGTTACTTGCAGATTTGAAGTGTGATACTCAGAATTGAAATGTGTGGTCGGACACAGACAGACAGGCACACACAAACACACACACAGGCGCTTACGCATATATGAAAACGAGTACATACCCACATTCCCACAAACGTACATGCATGACACACTGGGATTTTTTTTTCACCACGCGAATTGTGCACCTACTGCATATAAGAAATTTTTTTTTATCACAGCATACCAACCTGAAGCTGAAGCCGCTGTCTGAACTCTATGGTAACAATCGGTAGACTGCCGCCCGAAATTCTGCTGATTATTTTAAAAAACTGTGATTTTCGCTCACTGCTTCTGTTACGTCAGGTTTGCTTTTTATGCGCCTTTGCTTACGGCCTAAATTTTGCTTCTCGTCGTGTTTTACGACGCCGCCCTGTAAAAAAAATTGTAAAAAAAATCCATTGAGAATAATTTGTGATGAATAATTACAGTTTTTGAACACTAATTTATAGATATCGCATGAATACAAGAGACTGGTGGCACATGAGCTGCGCAACAGGGAGCGGCTCGATTTGGCTGCCGATTACTTCTCCGTCTATGGGTCAAACTGGCTTAGCGACAATGAGCAGGCTTCTCACAAAATTGCTTTCGATAAAATAATTGCCTTCCTCGGCAAACATATGTCTCATTTAAAGGAATTCTCAGTCAGGGACTGCCCCGTCTCGCTAACATTGACCGGCCTAATACAGGTACACTTTGTAATTGGCGCCATTTTATGTTCATGTCGTTGAAAAACTATTTTATTTTGACATTTCATCACTCCCCTTCATCGTGAAACGAAAGTATATATGGAATCCCCCGCAAGTAATGTGGCATAATTAGATCACAAAACGAGGAAGCAAGTGGAGTAGAGGTTGTCAGTATTTTATTTTGACTACCATCAAAATAAGCCTTCGAAACGTCCGCTGAGAATGTTATTTTGTCTTGATATTTTTTCATATTACGTGGGGGAGATTAAATTTAGGGTGGTAGTACCAGGCAATCACTGGTACTAGTACCCCACATCACTGGCGCAATCGCTTACCAAGAATTACAAGTTGAATTGCTTTGTTGGATATTCATTGAAATGGGCATATATCACGTTTAAAGACGCCGTTTGGCATAATTAGATCACAAAACGGGGAAGAAAATGGAGTAGAGGTTGTTAGTAAAGCAGCTCAAGCAGCAAATTGAAATAACGGTTCAGCAGCGCAGGGCAGTCGGGTGCAAATAGATTTGCTAAACATGGCTCAAGGCGCAAGCTGTTGCGGCATAATGAGAGAAATGGGAGAAAGGGGGAGGGGGACATCGAGGCTCGAAATGCGCACAGATAGGCCAAAAGTTAATGTTCGAGGCTTCGAGGCAGTGCCTTGGGAATCAAAGGAAGCTAACCGCAGGTGCTTCTACATCCTTGACTATTTAATCGATAAAATAAAGTAGCATCGTTGCACCGTCGGCAAGACCTCAGGCCGTCGTCACAGAAAATAGCAGATAGGGAGACCGTTGAAAAAGCTATCGAGACGCTGCAACATCGTCGAATGTTTTGCCGAAAATGCCCGTCCGCTGTCGCCATATTGCACACTCAGCCAGCAGCCGCGAAATTGTTACCCTGTCGCTTAGCGGGGAAGGCTAGCTCCAAGTGTGGCATGACCCCTTTG